CCTCATAGGAGCCGGACAAACCTTGTGTAGTAGACAACCGGGAAGTCGTCTTGCTAAGATCCCATAAGACCAGCGCATCAGAACAGCAATTGTCGTCCGATGAAGAGAGGCGTAGATCAGAAAAATCCAAAGTGCAGACACACGGACGCAGACGAACAAAGACCGGATCCAAACGGATCCATCGAAAACAAACATCGACCGGATCCCACGAGATCCCCAGAGACACACCTCCATACGCCCTCTAACAATACAAGAAGCACCACCAGAATGGAGGCTAGCGGAGAGACCCTTATTCCATCTTAAGAAAGTCGTCGTCGCCTCGTCTTTTTTAGCATGGCACAAATCCTAACAAAACTCAAAAAAACATAGAAAAACGAAGCCTTCCCACCGGCAAAAGGTCGAGATCCATCATGCCTCCATGGTCCTAGGACCATAGCAGATGAGGCAGATTGGGCAAGCGAAACCCTAGCTAATCACTTGGATCGAAGCGAAGGGGTACGTCTCAATGCCTTTGCTCGTTGGATATGTTCATTAATATCTCGTTTCGAAATAGAAATACATAATATGCAAACCAACTTACAGTTGGATGATTAGGAGGACAGTGGTATTCTCGGGTCACCAGAGTTCAAATCCTAAACTTGACATCAGTGCTCGCATTTTCCTAAACACCAGTGACATAAGTGCATAGAATTTATTTCAGTCCTTCCGACAATGTGTTTCACAGGGATGAGTGTGATGCCTTTGTCCGTATTACAAGATTTCAATTTCAATTTCATAAACAACTCCAAGAAAAAAAAGACAAAATTCATTGTTTGTGAATAGTAGCTAAACCAAATTAAATTGTAAATTCAGACTATTTTCACTGTCGCCAAATGGATTTTTTTTTGTTGTTTCTGCGCAATGTTTAGTGTTTAGATTAAAAAAACTTATAGCGTGGCGAGTATGTTGTTTCTATATAATTTGACTTTTTTTCAATTTTTATAACACTCCTATATGTGATAAGAGGGGAAAATATCAAGTGCTCCAGCCTATGAGGTGATATATTGCCCCCGTACCTCTTGTTGCGTCAAATGTGCATGAAGGGGCAGGATCAATTGGCCGGTGTATTTCAGTGTGCCCCTTGAA